AGAGAATGCAACTGTTGGAGTCGTACACATATTGGCCACGAGTCTGAACTAGGGTGTAGTGGTATATCGGTATTTCCATCATATCGCGGTATTCGATTCTTGTGATAATCTTACCGACCCCTTCTCCTTTTTTGGAGTCATCGCCAGGGTATGACAACAGTGGAATACTGTCGCATCAGTATAGAAACCGTAGAACACCGCCTCTCATCATACAGCCACGTCGGCGCCATACCTGAAGAGCTATTTCTAAAAATAAAATATTGCGTCAATTATCCTCCCCATCTCCATCAAAGGTGACGCCCACAGCCTTGGGAAAACTGAAGCCTTACTCAAAGTCACCGGAGTGTATTTAATCCGGACTCAAGGACCAAGATCCGTTTTTTGTGGATTCACATGCGCCCTGACTGTGCCCTCTGCCCTGAGCACTCAATATCGATATGACACTACCGTAGACGACAAGGACATGGATTTCCTTCCATGATGCTTCATTTTCCAAGATCCATAATTTGAGTCCTCCCAGCAGCTTAAATCGTTGTATTATTCCTGGGCGTGCCAAACAAATCGATCCATTTCGATCGAAACGAAGGAATACCCCATTTCTTCTGATCGAATAGCATAATACCGTGCGCCACTAGCTGCACGCCATCACGGCTGAAAGACTCGCTCTCTTCGTGTGCTTTTCCTGGGAGTTCGCAATTGAAGCAATCCCCTTGTCCCCTCGCCGGTATCACCGGTGTACCGCGGAATTGAGCCACGGTATACCGATCGAAAACTTGGCCGCATACCGCAACGTTCTAGTCCGAACTCATCCCGAAACCTTGAACGCAACTACTGCAATCCCAGTCTGGGAGTTGACCCGCCCGCGTCAACTTGGGGTTAGCTATAGTGAACATATACAGTATCTTCGTTTAATGAACCACAAACTTTTTTTTTAAATTTCTATCAGTGTCCACATGATTCAGAAAGTTCACTCACGAAAAGCATTGGGGGACAATTTACATAGCATCACCTGATGTGCTTTCAATCGCCAAATACTCCAAACAGGAACTGTCTGGAGGAGAAATCAGACACGAAGCCCATTTCAGGAGAAGCTCTAAATGGCATGAAGTTCATTGAACAATCCTCACGATGATGTCGACTTTTCGGTATGAACACCGTCGGAGAACTCCCGAGCCCATTTTTGACTTCACTCAGGTTTCTCCGAAAGCTGGATAAATAATTATTCTCCCCTCTTCTGATACGCGATGCCGCGTCCGACGTACGCAATGATAGGAACCAGATGCTTGATAAACACGCTTGTGTGCGGGCCCGGGAGCGTCGTCTCTAGTCGGCCTTTCCCCAAGCTTTCATCCCTCCATGTATCCCACCCCACCACTCGCGGATTGCGAGGTCAGAGTGGAACTTGAGAATCGAAGTCCGTGAGCAACTTCTTACTCTTCACAGCCCTTCGAAAGAAAGCATCACAGACTTCGCGAGAGGTACTTGTTCAGTCTTTGTTGATTCTTTGAGGGATTAGCGAAACAGAGGGAAGAGAGTCAAGGTTGGTCAAGAATTTCACTCTAAGTCGTCACGAAACAGGTGCGACGTCAGTTTGGTCTGCATTTCAATGGATTTCCGGCTAAGATGGCTAAGGCATGCAATGCAGTTTCTAAGAGCATAAGCATGAGTGGAACGATGAGCTGCTTTTATAGTGTGTCCTTTGCTAACTCAAAAATCCTGAAAAATTCATTCCTAAGCTTCGCATCCTAGTACATATACTTCCATCCATTATCAATGAATGACATTAGTAGGCTCAGATGATTTTTTTAGGACCTCACGGTAATTATTGCGAAGGTTTAGGATTTTTTTCTTCAATCTCTGGGGGTCTCTTGATTATCGAACGCTATTAATCTAAGAGATTTCTTAGAGATCTTAGAGATCCATGATCTCAAGAGTCAAGAGAGTTAGTGATATCAAGAGGCGATTTCGCCCATTTCGATATCACGTGTCGAGGACGAGCGTTCCTTAATTTTAGGGTAGGCCTAACCCTCTTAGAGCTATATATTTTTGTATTTTTGTTTTGTTTTGTTTTGTTTTTTTTTCTTTGTTTTTTTTTGTTTTGTTTTTTTGACTATCCTAGTTGCTTACTGTCTAGTACCTACGTCAACATTGCCCCCCACCTTTTTGCCTGTCCATGAAAGCATCTAGTTTCTTCTTAAAGATAGTCACAGAAGGGGCAGCCACTACTTCGTCATCTAACGCATTCCACGCGTTCACCACTCTGCAAGTAAAGAATTCCTGTCTCGACCTGAGCCGCACCTGCGGTTTGCGCAACTTAAGTCGGTTACCTCTCGTTCTCTTGCTGTCATCAAACTGGAAAAACCTACCACACTCGACATTATCTATTCCTTTAATTATCTTGAAAGCCTGGATGAGATCGCCCCTCCTTAACCTTCGTTCGAGCGAGTACAGTCTCAACACTTCTAAACGCTTCTCGTATGATAGTCCCCTGACCTCCTTAATCATAATCTGGATTTAATATTATCTATCAGAGAAAAGAGTTACTTTCCCAAGGACATGAACAATGTGGTGCGGTTGAAAAGGGTGAGACGATTGCCGTCCGCGCTTTTCCTGCGAGTCGGGTCCACACTGGCTTAGACTGCTTCACGTTTTCAATATTTGAGAAAGGGTTGCATTTATCTGATGCATATAACGAAATGCGTTTAATTCGTCTTTTCATTACTGGAAAGGCCTTTATTTTATCCGTATGAAACATAAAACACCAGTTACATCATTCAGACTGTTTTTCGCAAAACAGTTCCTTGCAATTCTTCCGAATATGTAATCTATCAAATATTGCGGAATTGTTACTTAAAAAATAAAAATAATAATGGCCATCTCTGCAGATCAAGTTGGTGTAATCAATTGACTACACCCAGGGAGATTAGATTCTGAAAGAGGGAAAAGTAAAATGTGGGGGGGAAGGGATGGACCGGGATTCGCTATTGCAGATGGGAACTAGGGAGTCTCATACTTTCGAAGCCGATTTCTGTATCGCACAGAATGTTCCCACTCTTTTTAGCCTTAGATTTTGCATCCCTGATACTTATTCCGAGTTATAATAGCCTTAAAATCTTACATTTCAGAACAATTCCCATTAATATATACTCTCTGAAATGAAGGCCACTACTACATAACATGATCATCAGTATTTGCTATACAATGGAGACCTGGTACTGCGTCTTAAAGGAGCTGACAAGTCTTTCTTTCCAGCAACGTTAATGTGACGATAATCCTCGGAGATCATTAGACACCCGGCATCTGGCTACATAGATATTCGATATTCTTCTGAATGTCTGATCATCCACGAGATTTCATTTTCATCCCACTAGGATCAACGATCATATTGACCAGGAGTGAAAATCTCCCAGGATGTGACCCTGACGATTCACTGAACCAACCAGTAACCCTCCTACGCCGACTTCCATCATGATCCTAACGTTAGCTTGTCTCTTCCTCTCTCTACTCTCCTTGGCGATTGGAGTGAACAATGGGACCTGTCCAGTAGAATCTATATTGCCGTGTGTCTGTGCCAAACGCTCGAATGGAAATGTGAGAGTGGATTGTTCGAATGCCGGAACCGCTGGGGAGATCTCATCGGCCTTGAAGAACGCGACGTGGCCTTCCACTCAAGTGTGGTGAGTCACACATCTCTTGTAATCTTAACGTTTCCCGCTTCCTGTGTCTGCACAGTAATCGCAAGGTCGTGCACACATTGAGGCGATACTGTCGTCCAATTCTGCATCGATGAAATCCTCCGCCTGGCCTGTGCTCATTTTTTAACGCATGTTATTTTTAGTCAAGTGATAGATTATGTGATACAGATTTGTGTGTAAAGTATAATGATATTGTATATCGGGCTTAGATGACATCGTCCATTTAATTCTTGAACTCTTACCTGGCAAGCCTTTTAATGTCAAGTGTGGTCTTCATTGACACATTATGAGATTGAAATGAATAATATCGACATCTGATGCGAACCTTATTAGGAATGACTGAGGAAAATGAAGCCTGCGAATGACTTCATGGTATTGTGACGGATGAGGATGGCATCGAGAGGGTCAAGTGAATGTCCTGGGTTCGGTGGTGTAGTGGTAGCACACCTGACCGGCAATCAGGAGGCCCGGGTTCAGTTCCCGGCCGTTCCTTGGCTTCTTTCGACCTCTCATGCCGTCCGTCTCCACTTTCCCTCCGTAAAAGTATGAATGAATCCACGGTTAAGAACATCTGGATGTACACTAACCCTTCTCTGGTTTGCTTCGCTGGGGGGAATTTTCGACGAACGCGCATAGCGATGAGAAAATTTCCTGGTATTCTTTGCGCAAGCATTTACGAGGTAGTTGAACATCTTTTGGTGTGAATCAATGGAGGAGAGACCAAGGAATGTTAAAAAAATGAAACTTAGGTATATTGCTCATGATTCAAAGGATATAGAAACAATTTTCTTGACCGATGCTTGAAAAAGAAAAACCGGCGGCAATCTGCTTTTATCGTCCTTGGCAGGGTTTTAAAGCTGGTGTCAAGAGTCAAGAGTCAAGAGAGTTAGTGATATCAAGAGGCGATTTCGCCCATTTCGATATCACGTGTCGAGGTCGAGCATGACCTTTGACCATTCGCCACGGTCAGGTGCTTGACCTGAGGAGTGCCAAAAAGTGGCTTCAAGGCCCTCCCTTGGGGTCCTCTGCAATGCATGTCAACGATTAAACGAATACTCACCGCCATGGTAAACAACATATTCAGGATACCATAACTCCCGCTAAAAGGCAGCCTCATTACGGAATGGTGTCCTGGTGAGGGATGCCAACCCTGACCTGGTTTCTTTCAAACAAATCGCATTTCTCAGGGTTACTTTAGAAAGGAGTACCTGTCCGCATTCCCATGGGAGGTAGTGCTAGTATGTCACTGAATGACACATGCTGACTTAGGAAGAGAAGGATTAGCGAATCTTGGGCAACTGTAGCATGAAGTGTCCTGGTATAATGGACAACCTGTCCATACGTCTAATCCATATCAGTATGGTCGCGCCTACGACGCTCCATTGTCCAAAAAAGTGATTCATTCATTAATTTATGTTCAAAGTAGCAAAAACCTATTAAAAGCATGTGCCTTTCGAAATGAGTATCGAGAGAGACCGATATTTTTTTTTATCGAAGTAATTACTTTGATTGTTTCTTCTGTGCCTAACTTCAACTCACTTCACAATCAGCCCTAAGGGGTCATATTTGAAAAGTAGTATCTGCCCTCAGCAATCGAACAGGTACTTCTGAGCCAAGTTTAAAATTGACTTAGTTCCCTCTTTTTTTAAATCAAAAAGGATTCTGGAAAATGGGCCTCTCGCAAAAAAATTGCACTTAGAGGTTTAAGATTAAAATTAATACTTTTTACTGAAATCATTAATCGCAGAATCAGGTAGATACCAAGTTTCACCCTTATGTGTTAGCTCTTTTTGCTGGTGCAAAAACATATATTTGCAAAGCCGATGCAGCCAAAAGTTGTGCCCTGTTGGTATGCACTTCAATACTTGAATTTTTTCTGAACTCACTATCACATCAGTTATTGGTGTGCCAAGTTTCACGTGTCTATTATTGCCCAATTCGGTAGGACAAATAAAAAATTATTCGAAAGCGTCACCAAAGAAAAAATATGCCCTGGGGCATATTTTTGTTTGGGAATCCGAAATCGGAAATTTTTCCCGAACTCAGAGTGTCAGTAGGCACGTCCATGTCAAGTTTAAGTTTTCCATGTTCATCCGTTTGACTAAAGCAAAAAATTAATTGAAAAAATCTAGCCTTGAAAGGAGTATGCCCAGTATAATGTTATTTTGGCCCTTAATCGGAATTCAATAAGTCATATATCATTTGAAAGGGTGTCCTTTGCAGTGTAATAAAATACCACTTTCACTCTAATATGAAGGGTTTGAAGAGGTTAGGTTAGGGTACGGTATGTAACGATTAAGTTATTTTATGTTTTTTCATCAGAACACATATCTATACTTTCAACGGTTTTGAGGTGTGGGAACTGCATACTATCAAGATTCAAGATAGTGATATCAAAAGGCGATTTCACCCATTTCGATATCACATGTCGAGGTCGACCGTTCCTTAATTTTAAGGTAGGCCTAACCCTCTTGAAGCTAAATATTTTTGTATTTTTGTATTGTTTTTTGACTATCCTAGTTGCTTACTGTCTAGTTCCTAATGTCAATATTGCCCCCCTCCTTTTTGCCTGTCCATGAAAGCATCCAGTTTCTTCTTAATGATAGTCACAGAAGGGGCAGCCACTAACGCATTCCACGCGTTCACCACTCTGCAAGTAAAAAATTCCTGTCTCGACCTGAGCCGCACCTGCGGTTTGCGCAACTGGTGGGGCAGGTCTTTCCTGTATTTGTGTGTTGGGGAATCCTAGTCCTTTATAATAGCGTCTATGGGAAAATGATATGGAGTCAGAATGGACTGGATGAGTGGGGAATGAAAAAGAAATAATCGCGCCGTAAATAGAGACCTTCACGGCTCCCCTTTCAAGCTACTCCACTAAATATGAGATGCTCGACCGATCTGCTTGGGGAAATTGAGCCATACATCTCCTAAAGCTATTCTGCCTCAAGAGATTTACTTCCAGTACTTAGTGATTCTCCTATCTTTTATTTCTTCTGTTATGACAATCTTCCCAGGGTTAGGTCTCTCATTCATCCCACTCAACATTCCATCCTGTGCACATGGAACTAAAATCGTCCCGAATAACACTTTTTTGCCTGACTTTTCGGGGAACCATCTACGCACATAGGGTGTGACACCAGGTGACTCAAAAGTTCCCGACTTTTACGGCTCCATGAACATAGGAACAATTTTGCTGCCATATTTGCAGCGTCGCATACTCATGTTGTACTACCCTATAAACACTTCCTTTCCTTATCGTCTTTCATTAGCATCTATCATTTTCCCTCTGTAGGCCTGTGAATTTGGGAACATTTAGGGCCGCCTGGTATTCAGGGTATCAATTCACGATTTTCACGGGATTTGGGGGTAATGTGGCAAAAAGAGGAGCAACTTGTTCTAATTTGCCTGTGACAATTTATGACCCGTTCTGTGAAAACATCACCCCGAATGGATACAACTAATTCCTGTGTGAACTTGAATGCCCGATTTATCACTTCATCACTAAATACTATGCAAAATATGAGATTAAAATTCGTTAAATAACTGTATTGATCCACAAGCTGAATGAATGCCTTAGGGAAGGCCAATGCTAAGATAATTCCTGTCTCTACCGACGAGAAAGAATTCTTTGACTCGTGACAGGAGACCCACTGCAGTGGAGGGCTCTTTCTGGAAGAGCCAATTGCGTGAAGGTATTCCGCGCGGGAAATGCAGCTGAAAACTTTTAAAGTTCTTCTGTTTGCTACATGACGTCATTACTTTATTTTGTAACGCGGACAGTTGAAACTTCAGAACCATGTAGCTGCACTATTTAGCTCTGCGTGTGTCAAATATGGAACCCAATCTCCATTTCATCCTGAAGATCTTGGTCATTATGTCATCTGACATTTTTGTCGTATTTCTCTTTCACGAACCAGTTGAAGGTTTATCCTAAAGGCGCTATTTTGCTAAATTCAGCAGGAGTTTCACTTGCTTGGGAATGGATGCCTTCATAGGGGACTATAACATTGAGACTAGATTTCTGCAATTGGATCCAATGAGATTCTTATAGGAAACGTATTGATCCCAAAGGAAACCTACGGGATTCCTATGCATTGCCATAGGACTATTTCGTGATGGTTTTTTATCTTCAAGCCTAGCTTCACAAAAGTAATCCTATTCTTTTGCATGTCGCCCTCAGATAGCAAAATCCAATACGGGATGGCAGCTAGATTTCCGGAATTTTCTAATCTAATTCTCCATCCTTAGTCAAAAATTTTCAAAAGTTATCTAATCAGGTTTTCAATTTGAAGGATTAAAAAGAGGAATCCTTCGTTTTCATAGAAACGGGCTGAAACATATGGATTTTCTGAAGAAAGCAGGAAATGAGTTCAGAACTTCTGTTTCAGCAAGTGGGAACCTGAATTCATGAAGCGATTAAGGAACATTATCACAGCAATCCTGAATGGAATCGTCTTGCTTGTGATGAACATATTGAAGTTTGGAACTAATTGGTGACAGCGTCGTAGGAGGAAAGCGACCTCAATGACATAAGAAATACATTTGTAAGTAAGTGGTGGAAATGTGACTTTGCGATACACAAGCATTTTAAGAAAACTTGCCGAAAACCCTAGTGGACAGGGTGGAGTAAGAGTTTTATACTTATTGATACAATAAAAAACTATATACGTACATGCTAAGCTTACAGTAAAAACAGAGCTGTCAGACCATACGATGGATCACCCGATAATAGTATTCCCCTTGATTATATTCAAACAAAAGCATATTTCGATCGTGATATACTTCACACTACAACTATACTTATTATCCCAAGCGTTTGAAAACTTGGATTCACTCGAGAAGCGATTCTGGGGAACATTTCGTCCTTTTTTTCTATTTCCAGGCAATTCCACATGAAAGGCAATAAAATGCTTGAGGATCTCCACGAGGGAGTCTTTGCTGGTCTTTCCTTCCAGTGGATATTCGTGGAAGACACCAACGTGAGGACAATTCATCCATCCGCTCTCCTCCATTCCATGGAAGTAATTATGGATCTCACCATAGGGGATAGTGGACTAGAGGAGTTTCCCTTTCAGCTGCTTCCAAAGTTCCGCCGCCTCAAGGGACTCAGCCTCTATGGAAATTTGTTGACATCAGTTCCGGCCTTGCAAACTGACACATTGGAAATGCTAGATCTGTCAATGAACAATATCAGTCGACTAGAGGGCAACGAATGGGCGACTCCCAGCTTGAAGAATTTCAACCTTTCTTCCAACTCGTTATCCTCAGTCCCAGCCCTCAAAATTGACAGCCTGGAAATACTTGATCTTTCAAGGAATGAGATTACCCGGTTGGAGGTAAATAGATTGGCTATGCCCAAATTGATGATTCTCGATCTCTCCAGGAATTCATTGGCCTCAGTTCCAGCAATGAAAATGCAGAGCCTTGAAAGGCTTAACCTATCATTGAACATATGGTTAAATCGAGTGGAGGAAGATGGATGGGCGACTCCCAACTTGAAGAGTATCGACCTATCTGGGAATTCACTTACCTCAGTCCCTATCCTCAAGATCGACAGCCTAGAAAAACTCGATGTTGGCAGCAATGATATTAATCTGTGGGAGAAAAATGGATGGGGGGCACCAAGATTGAAGAATCTCTGCCTCTCCTGGAACTCACTAACCCAGGTTCCAGCTCTCAAAATGGACAGCCTTGAGATACTTGACCTAGGTTTTAATAAGATTACTCGATTGGAGGAGAATGGATGGTCAACTCCGAATTTGAAGAGCCTCTACATTAGTGAGTCTTTTAAAACTTTTGTGGAATATGTGTATTTGCAAACGAGATTGTTTCTTTGACTCCTCTCTCCTTCTTGCTTTTTTAATTTCCAGAACATCTTTGAGTTAATCATACAAATTTATTTCATTTGATTTATAAATATTCTTGGATGGAAACTTTTTTCATGGCATATAATGTACGCCGAGGAGATTTTATGAAAGTGGAAAGAGAAGTCATGAAGGAGATGTTCTTTCTCCACGTCAAAAGCTACTCCACCTCGGTACGGAATATTTCTCTAATGCCTTTTCATTTCTTTTCTTTAGGAAGTTGGTATTTAATCAACCCAAAGATTCACTTAAGGGCGTAGAGTTCAGTTCAGACAAAGGAGTTGCAACTATAAATTATTAATAGTTACATATTCTTTCACCGATCATCAAGTTTCTTCAAGCGAGCAGTTCATTTTCAGGCAAAGCTCTAGGAAGCACCTCATTCGCAAGTTTCACTCACTGTTGTCCTTCGCTGATCTGCACGTAGCAAGATAAAGCAAAGGTATTCATATGCGGTCGCAAGGAAGAAAGATAACCCCACCTATTGGCGGTGTAGTGATGGAAGATCTCCTGCACGATCAGTGAATAATGATTTTAAAAATTAGCCAAGGAACCACCGGAGACCCAATTGAATCATTCTCCCGATTATAGTAACCTCGAATTGATCATTATCACCGTGGAATCGCCCACAATATGCAATTTTGACGGCTATCAGGAGGAACTTCTCTCGCAGGCGGACAGAAAATAAGCTCATAAATTTTTTTGCAATTGCTCCTTCTGACTTTTATCTAATCTGGACACTGGACATTATTGTTGTAAGCCAATTACACTGTGGACGTTTAGATTATTGGAGTAAATATGATTAGACCTTTTGTCGCGAACCCCAATGAAATAGAGGTTTTATTGGCGACGTCTCCCTTTAATTTTCCGAACTTTGGTTGTTCGAATAACCAAGATAGCTAGATTGTCAACTGATAGGCATAACTACCCCATCACTAGCGCATATGAAGCCGATATGGGCAGACCCCGCGATGTTGTATGATACGGACGTTTCATATTTGGCTTGAATTTCAAGTAACTTGACTATTAATCATTCGAAATAGCATTCACATGTGTGCAATGTGAGAGAGGTTTTGAACAAAGGATAATTCCACTAATAAATGAACAGACGTTCTTCAAAACTGCAAATCCATTATTGTATTCCATGAAAAAGGCGTTTTCTAAAACCTATGTCATCGTAAAATACCTGCCATCTGTTCTCAGCCTTATTTGAGCATGTCAAAGGGAAATACACACGGTGAAATAGCGAGCACTTCCTTTCTTAACCGCGAAATATGTAGCCAAGAAGATATGAATATGTCGTTATGTTAAGTCAATTGGTACGTTTTTCTAAAGCAAAGTTAACTATGGAAGAAAGACATTGCTGATGAAAGGTTCTTCTTGTCCATTCCAGCCGAGTTAGTTGAAGTCGTTCGCACAAGTGCCTATTCATACTCATGAATCTCTTCAACGCGTTTCATGTAGGTTACAATCCTCTGGCGATGTTGCCGTCTGCAGTGATTAAGGACCTCAAGAAATTAGAGGTATTTTCTTGTGAAAAATGCAACCTGGGTCCCACGCTTCCCTGCGGATTCTTGGAATTCCGGAGCAACGCTTTGAAGACGGTTTCCCTCATTCTCAGCGGCATCTCGATCTTGGAGCCAGGAGCCATCACTGGTATGACACCCTGTCATAATTAGCAAGGAGAGAATCCTAGTGTTTGTGTTACTTTGTGTTACCGAGAAGGTGGGAGCAAGTTAGGACCAAGTGTAGTCACCACGGAGAGAAAAATATAGCAGGACGCCTTAATCGAATTCTGGATGAAGGAGATCGTGCAATCGATTGACATCGTGCTTAGACTAGGAAATCCATCCAGAAACTTCCCAGACTGGCAATTCAAGATCACCCGTGTCAGTTCTGCAACATCTGCACCTGATGTCTATCGCTGGCCCATTCTTCTTCAACCAAAATTTGATGTAAGCGCTTTAGTCTATTTCTGTGTCAAGGTTTTGTTAAGCGTCCTCTCACACTGCTCCCTTTTGCTGAAGCAATACTCAGTGCATGTTCTTGTGTGTTGCTGCAATGCTTGCTGGGTGAACGCATACTTAATTTGTATATGAATAACTTGATATCGCCTCCAATGCGCGCAAACCAGGGACAGGATCCTGGAGTTTATCACGCTCCATTCCCCTCTTAGTGTTTTGCTCGGGGGAGGCTGCAAGGGAGGCTTCGAAAGTTTCGAATGGATACAGAAAATTGTCCTGTGTCTATTGCAGGTCTGAAAGCTGACACCGGAGTTTACCTCGATAATAACAACATCACTACATTGGATGAGAGGATCTTTCGATCCATCCTAGGAGTCATTCTCCCAGGAGATGGAATCCTCTCTCTAAACGGTGAGCCCCTGCTCAAGAAACCTCATATTTATCCTCATGAGGTTTCATGATCCCATGAGGCTATGAGGTCCTGAAACTTCTCATTTGAATCTATTTTAACAATGATATACTGTATAGTCGTTCCTCCCATTGATCTCGTTTATTTATACCTGTAATATAAAAAGTAGTGTTATGATTATCATCTCAAATACTGTCTTTGTGGTTCTCTATCTGGGCATAGGCTTTTTTACCCCAAAGGATGAGTATAGGTCTGAAATATGGAAAACGGCTGAATGCCATTCCCTAGAAATCCCGAAGCCTACAATTACCAGACATGCATGGCTAAATGCCATGTCCCAGGCCTAGGTGTAATCTAATCACTATAAATCGACTTTCCTCAAAAATGAACAAAAACCGGAATTCTCATAATTCAGACGTTACGCTAAGCCTACAGACCTAACCTATGATACTGCAACTACAGCATGAGGAGACATCCCAAGAAGCAGCAGGACTATGCCAAAACTAATTCACAGCATCAACACAGAGGACTGATACTGCCAGGATAACGACGCTAGATGAAACGACCTCGCAATGTTTAAACTATAGATGAAAATAAGAGAAGAATCGACTTCGCACTCAGGCTAAGGGGCTAAGAAAGTACGGCCGACAATCAACGCTCTTGGCGAGGGCAGTGACCTCCCCTTTCTTGGGCGGCTTGACACTGTACTGTATTGTCTTTTTCCGCGAGTTCGGCACCTGCATAATGTGGGTAGGATAGCCCTTTTCTTTTTGACCTGATTTAATACAATTCAATTCAATGCATCTCCATGTTATCACCATTTCGGTCCGAAGTTCCGACTGGTACATGGCAATTACTTCTCGGGTGTACGAACACTTTGTGCTGATGAACTAGCCGAGGCGCAGGTAGAGTGACCATTAGTTGAGTACAACCAGTAACTTTATTATTAACAGTACTTCGGTATTAACGAAGAAATGGAAGCCCTTGTGGTTCAAAGGCAAACAAGTACTCACAGCGAGGTAGAGTCAAATACTAAATTCATTGTCAAATAGGATGAGAATACGTGGTACCTGTATATGGTCGGAATAGGTAAGATGAGTTATGTGAAAGATAAAAAAATGGACTTCAATTGACGAACCCATTAAACAGTGCTATAATTTTGAAGTCCTCCCCCCATTTAGCAATACAACAATCCTTGATTCCCACATACACTCTCATGAATGTTACGTGAGATGTCACAAATTCTTCATCAGCCCTCATATTGCTATTCTTGTGAAGCTCATTCTTCCACTTTTAACCTTTATGAGGTATCAATCAGGCCCTCATAAAAATTCGGGGATCACATCAGAATGAATTGGATCACATCATGTGATTTCATGAGGTCACATGAAGACTCATGAGGTTTTTTTTAAAGTAGGGTTTAAAGAATTTCCACATGATTCAGCCGTTTTCCTAGTCAATTACTCTTCTACTCCTACCTCTTAATACATTCTTTGGCTTCCGATTTTCAAGGCAATCCCATCCAGTGCGACTGCAATTTGGCTTGGCTGGCATTCGCTTCCGAATTACGAAGAAAACTCAATTTAAGGTGTGAGAATGGCAGCTACTTGAATGACTTGGGTCGCGTGACTTCCTTAAAAAAATGTCGCCGATGTCCATACTCGTGCGTCAGTGCTCAATATGTGTCTCTATGCAAAACGGGTACGGTTAATCTCTCAGAGGTGGACACCTGTCAGTCTCAGGAAGTGTGTTGTGAATTAAACATTCCAACTTCTGCGAGCGACCTGGCGATTTCTACGATGGCTCCAATGGCCGTTCCATGCAGTCATTCGTGTCCAGTTGGTTGGGAGTGCATAGATGCGAAATTCCATGAACGATGTGACCCGAGCAGGATAAACCTGAGTGCTTTTTGTCCCTCGAGGAGGCAAATCTGCTGTTGGATCCCGAAGGAGCGATCATGCCCATCCACCCACACTTGTCTTCTTCCTTCTGTTAAAAGCCTATGTGAAGTTGGAAGTGAGATCTTAGAAACTCCATGCCCTCAAAATCGAGTTTGTTGCGTCGTGAGGAGCGTATCCTACGCCAATTTTTCCATCCCGCCACCTTGCCATCACGAAAATGTTACTGGAAGCGAAATTCTCCCCCTGATCTCTAGTTCACCAGTCCCACCTTGTGAAGGATGTGTAAGCTTGGACTTCTATTCGGGTCGGCTAGGTTTAGCCTATCTGGTGTGAAACCCCCGAATGAACCATGGGAATTTATTCGGTGTCAGGTGCAGGAGGAGGCAGCAGGTTGTGGACCACTCCACGGCATCAACCACGGGCACTTCAATATTCTCTCGTGCCATGGAGATGGGCGGAGGTAGGAATTTTCACCTTGATCTCAGGATTTCTCTGCTAAGAACGTACACGAATATCCCCTTCCTGTTTCACAGTTTTCAGTTGTTAATTATGTAGGGAAATAAATGCTGTTAGCAAATACAGCGCATGTTTTATATTAGCAGAGTTATATAGAAAAAAAAACTTGTTTCAGTATTTATGGCACGACGACGTGCGAACATCCATTAGCCTGGAATGCCGAGACGTTAAGAGTTTTCCACTTCATTTCTTTCACTGGAAAAATGCGTTAGAAATGGCAAAGGCCAATTTAGTAAAGGAATGCAAGGATATAGAATGAATTCATGAGAAAGAAATTCCATAAACTCTTAGTAAATGCCAGCACTGGCTGGTAATATAGCGCACGTATCGCAGTGGTTCAGAGTTAAAACCTAGCCGAACATTTTTTGTATAAAAAATCGTCTAAATTCAACCTGTCTCATCCTGAGATGTCCAAAAGTGCATGGCCACATCGAAAGAGCAACACTGTGTCACCCGTTCTTTATTAGGAGTGGGGCCATTCCAAAACAGAGAAAAAGAGGGGAGGTTCACTGGCACTCGGTGAACTGAAAATGTTTTCCTGATTTTCTTCGATAGGTTTTCGAGGTTCTCGATAGCTTTGGATGTAATTTGATCTCTCAATGAACATCAATGTCTGTAGGCCAGGCTGGTGAGTATTCGTCCCTCCAATCCCTAACGTCACAGTCGAGGAATGAAAATCCCCATGATGGGTGGATAAGTTTGCCTATTAACTGCAGTTTTCAACCTCGATTTCCTTACAGACGGCCGTAGATGGCTATAACTAAAAACACAAATGCATCCACCCGCACTACTAGTGTATACATGTCTCCCCAATTTGCTGCGAATTTTGCGAGTATACTCACTATGACGGATTTTTGACTCCCTCCCTAGGTCCTAGAAACCTAACCCGGAGGGACATATTCACCCGATGCGTCTCGAGATCACGAAATACATTTTCTCCATAATGGGAGATGCGAAAGTATCGATCGGCATATGTCCTCCAAAGATCTTCATAATCACCCCCCCCCCATGGATCTGCAGAGGCATTGCGTCGAGCAATCGGCGAATTGAGGAGGAAAATGTGGCAGAGATGGCAAAGGCAGGCTGAAATCCGAGCGTATTCCTGAATCAAAAGTGAGCCATGACTGGATCCAAAATTCGAGTTGCAATACCAATACCTATCCGGACTAGACAACTCTTGAGAGAAATCCCTCGAAACAGAGCAGAGTGGTCTCAAATGATGAATATTATTGCAGAATTTTATCGTTTTTGACGTGGCTTTTTCAACGATAATTAACACCATTTGGCAGAAACGAAGAATCTCGAATATACGGTGATTACTTTGAAGATTCGGAGAGAAGAAAGGGGAAATACCCCAAAACGTCAGATACTCCATAATCGTATTAGTATGAGGCAATATTTTTCTGATGTTGCCGATTCCCCCACCCCTAGATCGACCAAAGAGGGTCAGGCATTTCTTGCCATGTTTTCAGTCACTCTGGATCACTGTGCGTAGGTGTGAACCATTGCGCTGCTAAGGGGATTTGGATGGTTCCTGTATAAAACACAATTACATTCTTGGGTGCAACATATTTATTCAATATATAGAAACATAATTACAATTCCATAGGCGATAGGAATCATTGGTGGCATGGCCCTTTGCGTTCGAGTATACTTGTGCGCCGCAGCGAGGGGGTTAAGCAGCTAAATAATTTGAATGTGATGCGACGCGCCCGCAGAACGGAAGAGGAGAGGCAGTGCAGGTCTGCACTGATCAGTGAACAATGTAAGGATGTTAATGCCGAGAGAAGAGCTGAATGGAGGCAGCGTTGGGCTGCGTAAAAAGTGGAGCAACGCGAGACTGTTAACGCTACGCGGAGAGCAGCGCGTGTACTCGTCGAACTATTAGGTTGTTCCGAAATAAATGTCCAATTTTCGAAGTGTAATGTTTTGTCTATCATTATACCTGTCAATTTTGCGATAACCAGTTATTGTTATATACCGTTTTTTTCAGCAAACCTTTCTCTATATAAGCCACTTAGTTGCTTTTTATTTATCTTTAGCCTAACGTTCCTGTAGCTGCCAAAGCGAACGATGGAGAAACGCAACTTTCGTCCGATTTTTCTTTACGAGTTCAAACTTGGAACTAATGCTGCCGAAACGGCGAATAAAATCAACACTGCGTTCGGCCAAGGATCGGTCACGGATCGCACCATTCGACGCTGGTTCGAAAAGTTTCGTAACGGAGATGAGACTCTCGAAGAACAGGAAGGTAGAGGTCGGAAAGAGTCTCTTGACGACGCCGTTCTGAAGACTATGGTGGAACGTGATCCCCATGTAACGGTCCGAGAGCTTGCGGAAGAATTGTCTGTTGGCATCGCAACCGTTTCCCGTCATCTGAACGACATTGGAAAGACGAAGAAGATGGACAAATGGGTTCCGCACGAACTCACCGCGAGTAATCGCACTCGCCGATACGAGATCAGCTCCGCATTGCTTCTACGCAACACAAACGACCCTTTTCTCGACCGTATTGTTACGTGCGACGAAAAGTGGCTCCTGTACGACGATCGTAAACGATCGGCGCAGTGGCTGGACCGAGATGAGCCTCCCAAGCACTTCCCAAAGCCAAGCGCTCACCCGAAGAAGACTATGGTCACTGTATGGTGGACTTCAACTGGAGTGGTGCACTACCACTTTCTGAAACCTGGTGAAACAATCACAGCGGAGAAGTACTGTGACGAACTGGACACGATGCACGAGAAACTTCGCAAACTTCAGTCTGCATCGGTCGACCGAAGGGGGCCGATTCTGCTGCACGACAACGCCCGACCGCATGTCGCACATCTCACCGTACGCAAACTGAATCGGCTGGGCTACGAAACTCTGCCTCATCCACCATACTCCCCAGACATATCACCTACGGATTACCACTTTTTCAAACACCTGGATCACTTCGTCGAGGAGAAACACTTCCATGATCAGACCTCTGCCGAAGATGCCTTTAAGGATTTCATCGCCTCCAGAACCCAGGATTCCTACTCGACTGGGATCAACAAGCTTGTATCTCGTTTGCAGAAGTGTGTTGAAGCGGATGGTGCTTAATTCGATTAAAAATGTTCATTATCAGCTGAGTTACGACCCTTCAAAGTTTGCGATCGAATTCGGACATTTATTTTGGAACAGCCTAATACCATGCAATACTCTCGCTGCGGTGGGCGGGACGCCCGACGCCATTCCAGCTGTTTCGCACAATCTCGGCGCTATGATTGTGGAATTCTTCGTTAAGCAATGCGGGGCCGTTTATTTTGAAGCGATGAAAGGCTAACGTCGGCACAGTTGTTGACATAATGGTAGGGTGTTCCATACGAACTCATTCGAGCATCTGCCAGAGTTCAAAACGTTGTTGATGTGGGGAAAATACAAACGCAAGCGCAATTTTCGTGAGTTTAACAGGCGGCACAACAGCGCAAATGCGTTTGCTTCCTTTGATTTAACGATTGTTGATATTCCTTGTAGCGATCCATACTGATTCATGACATCCGGCGATGTCTATCACCTGGCTATGAACACCCTACAAATTTTTGATGATATAGTTCCTCCGCTAATTTTAAATAAGCAACCAGCGTATAGTCAATTCTGCGTTTTTGATGCGGAGAAAGCGGTTGAAATGCAACGGCGCATGGAAATTCGTAACGGGAAGTACATCACCATGTCTTCAACAATGGACAAGGTGGCACTAGTAAAACATTACCGAACATCACGCTCATTGACATATGGCGTGAAGGAGAACATAACGTTGATGAGCGCTGCGCAATCTGGTATTGCTGAAATTCTGCTGCCTGGTGGTATGACGTGTGTGAAATGTCCTTCGACTTGCCATTGGACATGCTCACGCATATAACGTGTCATTTATCGCGCAAGTTCAGGCGATGATTCGAACTACCAACGTCATCATTGAGGACAAAGTGCCATAGGGCACCCCGCGGAAGGGCCGGCAATGATCGAACTGGCGTTGAACCTCGATGGACGATGACCGTCCATTCGGTGAGAAAGTAGTTATGGTGGGATTCCCTATGGTGCTTGCTTACGGTATGATCACAAACAAGTCTCAGAGAGAGACATTCGATCGAGGCGGACCACTACCTGTACTTTCGGAGCCAGTATTGGCGCATGGGCGATTGTACGGTGCCTGTTAGAGAGTTCGCTCTGAGGATTCGCTGAAGGTTCCAATTATCTATGGAGCGAAGAAAGGCTAAACTGTTGCTAGCATGGCGCTATTACCGACGATTTGGTACATCAATACGTACTTCTTTGATTTTCAAATATATTTATTAGGGATTTTATTATGAAATAAACGTCCGTTTCATTCCCACGTGTGTCGCGTTCCTTAATCTTTAATGGTTCGTTTACTTGACCTGTGTCGAAGTAATTGTTGGTTATTTTTGTGCATGCAGGCAGGGATACCACGCTGTGCATCAGCATCTCTTTGTTGTACATATATATGTTCCATTGTGATCTGCAATTCAAATTTTGGCATGGAATATCCGGCTAAAAATGTTCTTCGCTGATAAGCCATGCCAAACATTATGGGTCTTTGGGCAGAAGGCCGCAGATGTGGACATAGGCTACGAATTATGATTTATCTCGATAGTGAGATTTGGACAAACTTGGTTCCATTTCTTACTAGGAATCAGGGAATTAAATGTAAAATTTAACGAATCTGTATTTTTTCCTTTTCTTCCTTTCCTGGTTTAGATAGTGTATTCTCTTGGAATAAATTTAGGACTTGAGTATATACCAGATATATCCAGTAGTAGCGAAATTCATAGTATTATTCATTCATCCCGTTGATTCAAGTCACCTTAGCTCACAGCACTCTGCAAGTGCAATATCTTGTGTTTCTCTTTTCAGGATTGACCGCAGTCATCGAGATGTCGAGTCTCGGAACAAGACGGAATGCCTTCTAGGAGGGAAATACCAGACAGGAAGCATAGTTAAATATTCCTGTAATAAACATTACGTTCTTAGGGGTCCACGCTATCGAACTTGTAGAAAGAATAGAGCATGGTCAGGCCCTACTCCCTTTTGCACACCTGGTCCGTCACTTCATTCTTTCTCGCTAGATTTAGAGGACCATTTACGACATAATTTCACTGTGGATTATCCTGCCTCTAAAAGAATGTGGAGTAAAGAAACGAGTTTCTACGTCGGGAACAGGCCCCGTTCACATGGCAAGCGGGAAGGAAGCTCTCATAGGGGAGTGGCCGTGGCAGGTGGCAATCTACGACAGGGCGGATGAGGAAATCATATGTGGAGGAGCTCTGATCGGAGAGCAATGGGTTCTAACTGCAGCGCATTGCGTCGTGGATTACGAACCCGTCTTCAATATCAGAGACGAGAGGGACTTCTTTGTCTATCTTGGCAAGCACTATCGGAATGACTATATGGACGACGAATTTGTGCAAACGAAGGAGGTGAAAGATTCAGTAAATTCACTCTTTCCCTCATTTCCAATACAAATAGCAGAAGAAGCAAGGCTTTTGTTTCTAGGTGGCTAAAATCATCCCGAACGAGAGAAACTGGCGCCTAAGGTTTCAATCTGACCTCGCACTATTAAAACTACACGAGCCAGCCAAATTGACGAATGGAGTTCAACTGGTCTGCCTCCCCACTCAAGAATACCTGTCTCGGAGCAATGCACTACAAGGAACAAAGGGATGGGTAAGCTAGAATGAATTGAGGATGAATTAATTCATATTTTCATTACTTCATTGGTTTTTCATTGGTTTGATGGTAGGTGGCAGGTTGGGGTCTCGATGCCTCAGATTCTCCATCTAAGTTCTTGAGAGAAGTACGACTTACAGTCTATGACATACTAAGTTGTGAAAATCAAACCGCCATAACCATAGGGAAAATACCCGAACTTACTGATGCCCATTTATGTGCGGGACACCAGCCAGACCCTCATACCTCTACAAGTAAGATTCGTTTCTATTACTTTGCTAAAGCACTGAGGATATGAAAACGAACTTATTTTTTGCAAACTGAGAGACGTTGTGCCTAAGTACCCGATCTACATTGTCGGAAAAGTGCATTTAAGGAGGAAATATGAGGAACGGGACGAACATTCTTGCTACGCAGGACTATCAAAATGTTCCAGTACCGGCATTCATAGGAGCAAACAATGTACAGAAGTTAGGTTTCAGCATAATCCCCTTCGAAATAGTTAATAAGACTTGCGATACACTTTTTTTCCCCAAAGTTTGTTAAGAGTTTGGATCTGTTTAGATTTTGGTAAAGACTTTGGAACTTATACTGGCTGTAACACATTCTGGACAACTTTTTTTCAATGCGTTGGTCGCAGCTGACTGAAGAGCGTCTGTGTCGTTCAAGCGACGGCCTTTCGGAAGGCACTTCATTCTGGGAAACAGCGTGAAGTCACAAGGCGGGAGGTCGGGTGAGCATGTATAATGCTTGAGCAATGTCACCTCACGATTGTGAAAATTCCACTGTAATGATTGCCAGCACTCCATGCGGACAGGCTCGGAAAAACCATGTACAATTTCCTCATTAGGAATTTTTCGATGACCGTCCACTGCGCTCGTCATCTTCAATGAAATCCTGTCCTTCAGAATCCCCCTAATTCTCGTTTGTGAGAGGCAGTAGCATTTTCGAGAAAGTCCTGGAACTCTTTAATAGGCCCGTTGCCGATAATAGGCCCGTTGCCGACATGATGATAACAACTTAGGAATTATTTTTTCTCAACACATTAAAACCTTATTTGGTGTATTTGTGCTACCTTTTAAGTCTTCTTTCTCATGAAGTCTAGCATGTAGGAGTGACCGATATATTTTTTTCTAGCATATGAGACGCTCTGCGCAGGAGATTCAGGGAGTCCTATTGTCTTCCAGGCGAACTCGAAGCAGGAAAGAAGTCCCTGGTTGATCGAGGGAATATTTAGTCACATCTACATGAATGACAGCCAGGAATGCTCTAAATTGCTCCCTGGCCAGTTCGCCATCTTCACTAGGGTTCATAAGTGAGACGTATATTTCTTCCTATCTCTCATCTATCACGGTATTTTATAGAATTGTCGTGGAACATCAAGGACACGAGATACAAAATTGCCATTTAAAGGACGTATCAGCAGGGTCTAACCACTGTGGGAATTTTCATGCGTACCAAAGAATCCCTAGGACAATCGATTCAAACACTAAAAATTTTTTTAAATTCACGCCGCACGTACATATAATGTCGGTTCAAAATATTCGGGGAATGACTTATTATATTTTGAATGAAATCTCCTATCTATTGCTGCAGCAAGAAACTAGAAAAAAGAAACATAATGTTCGTGAATCCCCCCAGGAGGGACACGGCTCTGGCCTTCCGTAAATATTTCGTCGTGTGCACCGTCGGACGCAACACAGCTGATCGTTGAAAACCAGAAAGGGCGACTTTCAGGAGCAGCGAGTTTGCATCAGATTTCGTTTCAAACTCGCTGCGTTGGAGATTTACGAAATGTTGGGAATGCTTATGGAGAGTATGATATAACAAGTAGAAAAGTTTTTATGAGGTATCGACGTTTTCGTGGTGACTATGAATAAACCGAAAGTAATCCACGCTCCGGACGTTCCTCGACGTCATGAACAGACGAATACTTAACAAAAATCATTAAGCATTTTCCGAATAAGCATTAGCAGCACAGTTGACATCTAATGCGGGGGAAAGGGAATTCCACTTTATAGCAGAAACTTTCTCCTATATCCTCGCTTAAACATACTCCGCGGAGAAAACCTCGGAATCTCTAATTCCGTCAAATGTACATGGGGGAGCTTCATGGGAAATTTCCTGCTTCCCTCTCAACACCCTTTAATTCTAAGACCTTTTATAGCATGAGCGGTTTTCCCCGCTAAATGAAACATTTTTTTGTTGCTAGTTTTCTACGGAGATTTTCCGTATTCTTCAAGGAGTCTGTATTGCATTCATTTCTCGAATACGTATTTTTTCCTCTCAGAATACTTAAGTAAAAATCCGATTTTCATTTTCATCTCCTGAAGTGCCCTCATTAATTCCTGACATTTTAATGCAATCCTCTTGCAGAGATGTGAGCTCTAATAACTCATGTGGTTATCCGCTGCGTAGGTATGAGTTACTATTCCATTCGTAGAAAAATCGCGACACGCTTCCGCCCCTCCTTCTCCCTTCACACTCAGAGAAATTGGTACATCGAAATGATATACTTCTCTCATTTTTCACATTTCGATGTCTTTTTTTTCAAGAGAAAAAGACATCAACTGGACTTTCGACATATATCTCTCCCTTCCCGACCGTGCCGGCTCGCCTGAAAGGCGTTTGCAAAACCGAAATGGGTCTATAGCCGAGTCGAGAGGGTGGTTTGAGTGGTCTTGCATTGTCAAGAGTTTAGACACGGGTCTAGACTCTAGACCCATGTCAATCTCCGTCTTCCACTTCATTGTGCCGAGGAAGGCCCATTTCCCCCCCATGAACCCTCGGGGCAATGCATTAAAAGCCGAGGGATTCATGCGCAACCACCTGAGTGCATGGCGTCTTTGCTCTATCACCTTCCTTGCGACCCGTGCGAGTAGCTCGTGCGTCTCGAAGGGATTCCAAGGTAACAGCTTACATCATTTTGCGAGTCCAGATTCATACGGTATTTGTATTCCGTTTGGTGGGTTGGTGGTGCACCACGTATTGCCAGTATGGAAAGATCCGACTCCTAACTATAGACAGTTAACAGTCTTTTAAGAATACATTGATTCCTATGGGAGAAAAAGAGCTTTTTTGCTAAAAGGCCCCGTTATCTCCCCTAAATTACGTTTGTGTATTCGGGCTTTAAGCTCAAAAGAAATTATATTCCCACAATAGGTTTGTCTGACGTTAAAGAACACTAGTATTTGTAGCCTATAATCTTGAATCAATTGGTGCACCCGCAAATATTTTCGGAAAGTCTCTCCTGCCCTCGAGATCGTAGACTCATCCTGCCCTGCCCCCTGACTCTTCAGAAAAAAAATTAGCCACTGTGTACAAATTGAATCCGTCCGAAAACTGCGTATTTCCTGTACGCTTTGAAGGTCCTGCCTAGCCCTTCATCACCGTGAATGCCCAATATTATATTTCAATTTCATCGATGATTTTGCTTTAAACTCTTTGCCAGACTCCACCCTCCGTATTGAGTGTTATACATGTTTTCATTATATTGTTAAAATGATATGCGATTAAAGCAGTGACAGCTGCTTCGTTCAGGAAAATAAAAATGCCCCATTGGTGGTGGGCGATAACTGGACATCATGTGGAATGAGCATGTACTCTACGTGTTGGCGAATGAAAAGTAGCCTCTGACAGATCTTCCGCGGTATATTAAGAACAACTCCAGAGAAGCACGTGGGAGCCTACCGTTACACATTCTCGCTGAGATGGCTCGAGAAAGTGAGACGAACAAATCATAGGCCCTTCATGCAACGATTGCGACTCGCGAAAAAGTTGTCCATGTGATCCGTTTTCTTCACATCCAAAAGTTGATGCGATAACCGCATCCAAAATTCGATGTGATTAAGACGATCCACATGGAGGACAGATTTTTTCGCCAGAAAAATGCATCAAACTGAGGCACTGAATTTTCTGTGTGGACGAAGATAGGGTGTGAGGGATGGATGAGTGATTTGTAAGTGTATATAATGTTCCTAACTTTGTACGTATTTTGCAGCCTGCTGACGCCCAATACATAGTTGTTATAGATGAAGCAGAGTTTGCATCGTTTCAGGAGAAGTTTTATCTCCAATGGGAAGATGAAACTCTCATGCCTATTTATCAACCCGAAAATTCTTTTTTTCAGACATATGTTTCTCGTAGTATCATGATTACATAATTATGGGCATTTCGGAACCGAAAGGGAGTCCTCTCTGACTTAGATCAGGAAATAGAGGTAATTTCCTCAAGGAGTCAAAAGGGAAAACATTTGTTATTTTCAGGATTCATACATTAGGATGATCTCCTCAGAAGTGTCATTTATACCTCTTCCTCGTAAAGCGGCCGGGAATATTCGAAAAATAGTAATTTGAGGCGATTGAAAAAATATTCCGCTTTGTTGCCGGACTTAAAATGTCTAGTTTTAAGTGAAACCCTTTGCAGTAGTATTTCAGGAGCAAAGGGGAATGTTTTCCTCCAACGACAGGAAGTGGGGCTTCCTAGGAAAAGAAGACATTTCTTTTAGCACATTAGGTTTATATGCTTTTTATTTGCTTTTCATCCAGGTTCATTTGCTGTTAGTTCATCATTTTTACAAAGTAGAATTGTAAATTTCTGAAAATGTTTGTTCTTCATGTGAAGTGACTCTAACCTCCTGAATATGGTGCAACTGTAGAAGAAATACTGTCAACGGGGTCAACGGGGGGTGAAACCCCTGCCGAGGTGTTGAATCGGTGGGATGCAAGACGGAAGCTGTTCCTGACAATCTCTTTATCATACACATTGCAAACACCCAGTCTATTAAAATATTGATCGCGGGCGTTTCTGTTCAACGACATCGCCAATTCTTTGAAATTTCCATGTTTCTGAGGACATCTCATAAGCCTTATGTTGTTCTTCATACCATTCAGGTATATGAACTGGATCGAGGAGAACATGGCGAAGAACGCAGACTGAACTTCAAGACGCTCCTCGCAACCGACATGGATCCCATCCCTGTTCCTCTAATCCTCAAAAGTTTGATATTCACTAGAAAGTTCCCTTTTTTGCTGATAATACGATTGCATAAAATCACACAAAATGAAGAAGGAATTGAATGTCATCATCATGATTAAATATTTGACTTTGAAAATGATTGGATCAAAAGTTGGAAGATGCATTGCTTTCAAAGAGGATATTTTGCTCTTCTGTTTTCCAATTAACATCAAAGTAGCAAGTAGCGTGGAAAAACATTAGAATACAAGTATGGGGATCGATGTTATGATCTTCCTTGAAATAGTGCACTTGTCCTTCGGAGTTTGAATATTTCTTTCTTGGTGTACCCTCTCTGGCATGTGCCTAAGCCTGAGCTCGAGCCAGTTGGGACTCATCGTTTCATGTCATATGGAAATAAAGCAGTAAACAGATTGGGTGTCTCTCGGAAATGACTATTATTTGACATATTTTCCTCGAAACACTAGAAGTATGCTGATGAACCGTATGGAAGAATAGACCGTATTGGTTGATACATTCATACTTTGCTTTCCTTATTTAATGACTTGCATGTATGAACAATATCCTCGAGATAAGATGAAGGGTCTTCATTCCATCTGCTCTCCCGATTCATTTCCTTACTGACGAAATTGTTTGCCCTTTGGGAAGGTACACTCACAATGGTTGCGCCTTCGCCGCTCACACATTATGAAGTGGAATTGAGTCTGTTTCTATTGTTGCATTAATTTAAGTCGGGTAATTTGACATCACTGGCAACATGAAGTTGGCAATATTAAAGGAATGAACCTTAGTTTCCCATGAACTTCCCCCTTAGGGCTTATTCATTCATATCTTCCTGAGAAATTTCATCCATTAAAAAGCTATTTGGATCAATTTCTCGGTTCCGTATTAGATGACCGTGGATAAACATAAGCAGAAAGACGTTTAAAATTCTAACGTTTTACTTGTGAAATTATAGCTATATATTTTTTATTATTCCCGCCATTACCATATAGTCACGGGAATCAAGGACCCAATTTCGAAGAAAGTAAGGAAGCATAGCATCCTAAAGAACTCATGAATAACTAAGGCTAATAGTTTTTTCCTTGAACGAACTCAGTAGTCCCTTTGTTACGGTGTCGTGGGGTGTCAGGGGAAGGATGGGGGCATGAATTGGCAATGTAATTCAAAGTTGCGGTTTCCACTTGCAAAAGGACAGCGAATTGACTCAATTGGTGTCGGACTGGGAGAAACGCGGCCGACCGTACTGTTCATTAATCCTATTGCATTGGCTGCAAATGCCGCCCTTGCCTTTGCTTCGGTCTTATGCCTCGACTCTAGGTACTTTAAATGTATGCGAAGGATTTGATACATATTGGGGTCACATTTTCATAACAATATT